TCTCTGTAGCTACGACAGCGGCATCTGCAACAGGGGGGGCGTCCTTCCGAGGCGCGCACTGGGAAACATGGGTTGTGAGTGGTTGTCGCAGGGCGTTCTGTCGATGGTGAATTATGAGCACACACGAATCATGAGAGGCTCGCTTCCATGATATGTTTTGAGACCCCAGTACCAGTTCTCACCTTTTCGCTGTTTGCACGTTTCATCTTCTTCCTCTTCCGCTTTGGAGTACTCTTCACCGTTCCAACAGCCGCAATGACACTTGCCGCTCCCTCTTGCGTGGTTGTCTTGGTGCTACTTCTCAGAACTCTCCTATTAGAAGCTTTCGATGAACTCAATTCTGTATCCAATAGAGATGCAGATTGCTCTCACGTGGGTTCAGTTTCTGCAAGTGCTGCCACCAAGCCTGCACTGGGCTCAGTCCTTGACTCTTGCGCGGGCGGTGCGAGGTGGGGGGACGGCGATCGTGGTAGAGTTTGATCGTGAAGGCCAGACTGCCCAAGTGCCGTTGGTGGTGGCTGTTTGCTGGAAGATGAAGTCTGCGTTGAAGTTGATGTAGGTGGTGCAAGGAACTTGACCGATGGTGGAGATTGAGGTTCAAGCACCTGATTACCCAGATCGGTCTCGGTCTCGGGTGCGGCAGCTACAGGAAATGGCTGGGCTGGTGTGGCCATTACGGTGGGAGTGTCCACATTGGCTGTTGTCTCCACAGGTTGAGCGTCCTTGCCTTTCGACCTTTCTTCTGTCGAGCAGTCCATGTTGTCAGAAGGGTTGGAAGCTTGTGTCTCATTTACCTTGTGCGCAAGGAAAAGAGATTCCAATGAGTTCAGTGTGACCAATGTGTGCACGAGTAGGAAACTCCTGACAGAAGTCACCTTTGGTGAAATAACTGGGTTCTCCTTCTGCACATTGCTGTTAATCAGCACCACGGTGGTCCTCGCGTCCTGGAGCCGGGCTGCTTGTTCAGCATGAGCTTGAATCGCATTGCCGTCCTCGTCCGATATCACCATCGGATCAAATAGAGAATCGACGTCAATAGGTTGATGTGGCAGATCTTGCGGTGTCGAGATTGAGGGAGCTTTGGGAGCTCTTGGGGGTGCAGATGACAAACCACCTCCTTGAGACCGACATGTTTTTGTGATTCGAGGCACTGCACTACCCAGCTTCCTCGTCTCTTCCACTATCTGCATCATTTCCACTTCCCTCTGCAAGACAGGTGCTGCATCCTCTGGGGTCAGATAACCATGCTTTGCGAGACGAATTAGCAATGGATCTCCACCCTTCGACACCACACGTGCCATTTTTGCAATGTCCCCCGACGTGTACATTGGCTTCTTGAGAATAACATACGAGATGTACTTCAATCCAACCTGACACAACCTCTCCAGTGCTGTCACTTGCACACCGTAGATTATTGTTCCCTCTGTGGTTCCAGACAATGCTCCCCTCCAGACATTCTCCAGTATATTGGTGACAAGATTGCGCAGACCCTTTTCAGGCCGTGGGTCCTTCTGATTACCCTTGGAAACAATCACCTTGGTACCGTCAAGATGACAGTCTCCCGGGAACAGCATCTTCCTCAGCAGATCGTACGTCCCTATAGATGTCCATGATTCTGTGCGATAGTCTTTGTTGATTCGCTTGTCATTGTATTTGAACGGTACGATCTTCAATGACGTATTCTTTGCGTTGTAGTTTGCCACCCAGGTGTCATATGTTTTGAAATCAACGATATGTCTATCCTTCTGAGCTTGAAACGCCAATCCAGACAGGATCAGAAATTCCGTTGCAGCGTTGAAACTGAGGAGGTCATTGACAGCAACCATCATGCTGTTCGCGTTTCGAAGACGTTGCTCTCTCGCCAACATGTACTGTTGGACTATTTCCGGTGCTAGGAGAAAAGAGCCAGGGAGGCTTTGATTGTTCGATGGCAAACGGACGGACATCTTGTCGCTCATGCTATGACGAGGTGGGAGTTCAGATGGGAAATTAGGGCAACAACACTCGAGCAGGTGATCCCTCCTCATCGCCTCCACAACCCCCCTCCCCGATCCCTCCGCCCCATCAACACACAATCGGCAATTGAGATAGTATTACTGATAATTCAATGTTTATTGACATGAAGCTGTACAAAGTCTACGGTGCCACTGCCACCCACCCATGGCAACCACATCCTGGGCAGAAGAGGTGAATGACACGGGACTTGAACCACTCTACAGGCTGGCTGGCCATCAAACCATCGCGGACCAGAACGGCTGAGTTACTGCTCCAAGTCCCCGCAAGAAAGATTGATCTCCATCTGATCTTTCGTTTTCTTTTTCATCCAATTACATTGCTTTGTGATAGACGATCTTGCCAACTATGGGACTGTTGCAGCGTTCGTAAAGGAAGTATTGAAGGGCCCGTGGAAGACCAACCGGGAGCCTGCGAGGACGAAAATTGTCCGTGAACTTGCGCGGGCTTTGGATCTGAGTTCCTCTCGAGTCAACACGATCGATCGCGTAAGTTTGACTCAGCTTATATTCTCCAATCAAACCTTCTCTTATTTTGATGGATTCCGCATATGCATTTGATATATCCATTCACTCCTGCCTTGAATTTGTCTCTGTGTGCAACTTGACGGCTCTCCACGTTCATACCAGTGGCTATCCTACGAGGAACTAAGCGAGCGCTTCCCGGAGTAGGTGCTAACAGATGTGGTTCTTTTTTCGTACTTGAATTTTCCCCTAACATGGACTGTTCACATAACCATATCTACACCTTACCTGCAAGGTCCGCTGTGACAGGATCCAAAGTGAGTTTTAATCTTTGAATATTGGCACTCCTAATAAATTCATTTTGCTGATCTACTTTGCTCATGCAGAATGCCGCTAACGTGTGGGCACCAAGAAAATACTTGCAATATGTGAGTTCATCATTCTTCAAGAGTGAGGTTATATGGTTTATTTTTTACAAATGCGGTGTTTTCCTTTGAAGACTACTGCTGGCATTTGCGGCAGGTTGCCACCGGAGCTTGAGCAAAAAGCAGTCGAACATTTCATGGTCGATCCATCTCAAAGCATCCAAGACTTTGCGATCTGGATCTTTAAAGAATTTGGTACATGGTACCAACTTCAAAGTGTTCATAAGTTGTTGAAAAAGTATGGAGCATCAACTGAGACGTTGAACGAAATATTAGAGGAGGCAGGAATAGAGAACGAATATACGTACTCATAATATTACAAAGGTTTCTGACTTGGGGCATCTGCCGGTTGAGGGATAGCATGGGATTGCCCTCCCCTTATCCGGCTGGGTTTGTGCTCAGACACCGGTCCGGCCACGCTGCTGGGTCCGTTACTAGTTTGAAAGGCGGACCTGGCTCCTTGAGAGTTGTCTGCACGGGCGTGCCTTGATCTGGCTCTTGTGCCTTTAATTTGAATCTGTCACAATCTCTAATTGAGATGGCTTTAGTAGGACGAATAATGCAGCTTCCGGTAAGTGAATGCGTTTGGCGTTTCCAATTCCTGAGTTCAAACTGTGGACCCCCGCGATCAGTTGTTGATCGCTACTTTCAACATTACTTCGTGGATGCCATTGGTACGATTCCATGTTGACACCACATACACCCTGTACTCACTACCATATCCAGATACTTACCAGGAAGTTTGGGATTCATCGAACGGGACTGAACGATACGTTTACCTGACGCATTCTTGGCTCTTGTCCATGTATCTCGACGACTGTCCGAAATATGCGCAATTTCGCTGCCCAACGGCAGAGGAAAAATTGAAGGTCGTGGAAGCCATACGGAGGTACAATTGCTTGCTCATTGCTCTTGGAAGGAATATGTGATTACGAGCCTCTTGATGCTCATCTCCACCTAGAGGGCAACTCACTTACCACGCCTACCCCTTCAACACTGAAATTGAGTATGGTAATGCGGATCTCGCCCGCTATGCCATTCAACTCACACACCACATTGATGACCTCGTCGCCAACTATCCCAACACCACTGGACCGAATTTGAACCGTCGCAAGACCGTAGTTTTGCAACGAGATGTACCAGGAATAACACAATCCGTCATACCGATCCTTGTATCGGAGGGCGTAAGGGCCATTTCGGTGAGTCTTGCGTTCCTTCCAGTTCCGTGGATCCTCTCCTTCAATTGCCTTAACGCGGTTGACGTGGCCTGGATTCAAAGTTCGGATGCAACGCCGCCTCCAGTCCCGTTGCCGTGCCGCACAATCGGCCTTTTATATGGCGAAATGATCAAACTGGCGATTCTATGCTCGCCTTGTACAATGATGGCAGTTACGGATGGGAGTTGGATCCAGTGAAACACTTGTTCTACGTCCCTCTACGTGAGGGCAGAAAGTCATGTCCATATGGAGCCATTTTTGCGTGGTGGGGTTGGGATAAGTAGGTGTATTGCATTCGACTTCTGATGGGATTTGTAAACTAATTCTCTCCTGGTATGTACTCCCTCCATCAGCGCTGGCCCTTTTCCCGTGTCTGATATCCGCAATTATTATGCCCAATTCAGACGGACATACCCGAATGCAACTTTCATTGGCGCCACGCTGGAAGATGTTGCTGACGCCTTTACTTCCCCAGAGTGCCTTTCGCTCCTTGAAACTGTGGATGGTGAGATGGGTGACACATGGGTGAGTGAAAGGAGACAAGGCACTTAGTTCAACGTTGCTCCTGCCTTGTGCTATATTCCTCTAGATCTACGGAATGGGCTCGGATCCTTATAAAACAGGAGCTTTGAGGGCACTAATGCGAGCTCGGGAACAATGTGGTACCGATCCGTTGTGTGAGACAGATCCGGGCAATGTGTCTGAAGGAAGGTCTTGGGGCAATTTTTCGAGGTGGTTGTTGAAAGGGGTGGAACACACATGGTGAGTAAACGAGGATTCGAAAATGCTTTGCTATGACAAAATCACTTCATTCCCCATCCTCGATTCCAAGGGGCGGGTCATACAATCATTAATAAAACACATTAAGGAAATTGGATATCGCGAGAGTGGTCGAGTGGTCAAGACGGAAGATTTAAGTCCTTCTCACGAAAGTGGCGTGGGTTCGAACCCCACCTCTCGCATCCCGGAAAGGGCTTTTGATTGTTTTTCGGACGTCAGCATTGGCTTGGCACTAGAGCAGTCACAATGTGGAATGACCCCAACGGAGCATCTCTAATGGAGTGACCATTTTTTTTAAAGCTGTGATAAGGGGAATAGTGTGATGTTCTTCACCGCTCTGCCACATCTCCGCAAATAAGAGACCTCGCAAAGACTCGTTTCCAAACAAACAATCACATCTCCTGCCACTGCTGCCAACCAATCATCAGCATACAACTTGAAGGAATTCAAACATATAATGGCCTCTGAACACAACACACCCAGACGGACAACCGTCTGGTGCGGCAGAGCTGTACGAGTGTTAAAAAGATACGTTTTTGATATTGGGTTGTCGTATCTTGCACTGTACCGGTCTCTGCACCTGGCACGTGCGTGCTGCCGAACCTGCCTAAGCCGAGAAAGGGGCGAAGATGGAATGATGACCCGGTCACGTGACAAAGTCCAAGTGCGTGGAAACAGTAATGCAAACACTGCCAAGTGCCGGTGGGTCACGATCGTTTACTTGAATTCGAAAATGTCGCAAAGACAATCGAATTGTGTTTAGGAAGGCAATTGTATTGATTTGTTCCGTTGAGTTAGCTTGGAGCAACATCACGTAAGATATTCCAAACTACATGTGATGACACGAAAAGGGATGTGAAAAGTTCTTGTGGGTGGAAATAATGCGAAGGGGATGGGGATGGATGGGGGATGGATGGGTTCCAGAAGTCCAGCAATTCTGAGGTCCACAAATCACGATGCAAATCTACGAGGGTCGGGGATTCACAAAGCAGGAACATGGGAGACAGATGGGAGATGGGGGAATAACCCAGAATGGGGTGGCGTACATCACTGGAGATGAAGGGTAGCGCGGTCGGTTGCGGTTCGGTAATCAACTTATTGGTTGAACGTCCAACCACCCTAGAAACAATTGGGGAGGAAGTTAGAAAAATGGGATGAACAGTAGTGGTGCAAAGGGAGCAGAAATACTAGGTGTAGTGCAGCTGCAACCCACCTGAGGTGCAGTTTGGCCGTCTGCAGAGAAGGCGAATGTCCCAGTTGTCTGATCCACCTCCGCCTCGATTCCAGTTTCCGTTTCTTCATCGCTGAAGTACTAGAAGAGATCACAATGATGCAGGCGCACGGTAAAGGTGCAGCGACGGAAGGTCAGTGCATCCGCCAGGACTATTCTGGGCAACCCACATCTGAACGAACTAACCTTGTCAATAATGGTATACGCCTTTTTGTAGATCTCCAAATTCTCGTGAACCTGCAAGTGATGAATTTTCTCCATCCCACCGCACTCTTCCACGTACAGCGCCATCTGATTCACGTTCTGTGTCTGCTCTTTGTCTAGTTCGCCAACCTTAAGAATATTGTCCAACCCATCGCGCGCTACCTGAATTATTTTATTGTCACCAGAGACCAGAAGGTCACACAAGGGCTTGATGGCGCCTTGCTGAACAATGTACCGAATCTGCTCGGGCTTGGCCAAACCACCTGACGTGGCGTTGGAGACCGCCCAGCACGCCTCCTTCTTGGATTTGAAATCACCATGTTGGAGGATGTCCAGAAGGGGGGGAATGAGGTTCGCGTCGATCACGGCCTTCCATGCACAATGTGTTGGTCGCAAAAATTGGTGGAAGCAGCAAACAAATATCTCACCTGAATCTGTGTCGGGTTCCCCGCAGTAATATTCGAAATGGTCCAGCATGCCTCCTTCCTGATTCCGTCTTTCGGGCTTTGCATGAGTGCCGACAATGCCTGCAAGCTTCCACAATTAAGCATAACTTGGGTCTGGACATCATCTCCCGTGACAATGTTTCCGACCGAGCGAAGTGCTGGAGTCTGCACAGTATAGGACGGGTGACCAAGAAGGTCGACAAGGCGGCGGGAAACACCAGACTCAATGACCGCTTGAATTTTCTCGTTGGAGCCGTCTGAGAGGTATGAGATGGCCCAGCAAGAGTCGGTAAGGATTTCTTCGTCGTTGGCATAGATGAGCTTCGCGAGGACAAGCAGGGCCGGAGAAATCTAGGATGGAAATAAACAGCAACAACCAAATTTTTGAGTGGTCTGCGAGATTGCAGTGTGGACTATAATTATGTAAGAGTCCGTGGCTCTTTTTAGTCCAAATTCGGTTGGCCGATGATCCTCCTCGTTCATGAGAGAGGCGCCACTCAATTCATTGCTCCACCTACTGAAACCCATTACTAGAGTCCGTATGCTCACCAATTGCCAGTCAGGAGGCGGGTTTTTGCCCCTGCATAGGTTGCTCAACGTCCAAGTAGCATTCCTCAACATGGAGAGCTTGCTCTGGCTCTCGTTCAATATGTCCAACAAAGGCCTGAGCGCATTTTGCTGCAGTACTGCATCCCTGCACCGGGGTGAGTCACCAGCGATGTTACCCAAAGCCCAGACGGCCTGCTCGCGCACGTCGGGTACAGGAGAGCGCAGAAGCTCGATGAAGATTGGAACCGCGCCGGCTTCCATTACAACGAGCGTTTGTTGGGAGGAACCGGATGCAATGTTGGTGAGAGCCCAGGCAGCCTCGAACTGAGGAGGAAGGGAGGTGGATAAGGAAATTGTTAGATGAGACACAGTAGCGTGAAAATATTGGCAAACGAGGACCTCCATCTCAGGGAATCTCAAAAACGACTTTGATGGGATCGCCACAAGGGTTTCAACAAAATGGTCTCGACATCCAAATCAGCGCAAAACGCTGAATAGACAATACACGAATAGACAGAATGTAGCCGATCTCCATGGCAAAGACCTTAATCCACAATTTTTCCAAACCTCACCATCATATTGCCGCAGCAAGAAAGGCAAGAGCTTCATCGCCTCTTCTGCACGCTCATAACAGGACTCACCTGCAGCAATGAATTTGGGCTCCTCAAGAACTCCACAAACCTCGGAATCACTCCTGAAGCAATAACCTCCTCGATGGGCGGGTTGCGCTCCTTCGACAGAAGCTTGCGGAACTTGGCTGTGGCGGCGAGCTGGTCTTCAACGGAACCGGTGTTGACAGCGGCGACCAAAAGAGGTATCTGGTTGGAGGCCTGTCCGGAAATTGTGAGCGTACGTAAGAGGGTGATGATCACGAAGGACAGCGAGCCAGTTCCACTGAAGTACGAAGCCCAAGCGCTGTTCTAAGGACCGAGCTCGGAAACTGAGCTCAATCTTCAATATTGCTTGGCATACATTTTTGCAACCAATTTCGTCCACATTCATGCAATTTCACTCACTTGAACTGAATCCACCATCCCACCATCATCTTCTGACTCGTCCGTCGCGGATCCCGCCCACTGTGTCAGGTTCCTCCTCTTAGCCAAGCTTTCCTCTCTCTTCATCTTCCGAATCTCGACCGCGGCATCCTCCCTGCGGCGACGGAGCTGGTCAGCCTGTAAATCGCCGCGGTTTTTGTACTGAGCTTGACGATGCGCTAGGGAGCGGGGGGAGTCCATGTCTGCTGGAGGTCGAGGATGTGAGGTGCGTGCAATTGGATGAAGGCGTGGCACGCAGACAACATTTAAGGGGTGATGCGATGGCGGGAAGTAAAGTGGTTGAAGAATAAATCAGATTGATTTGATATGGAGTTCAGAGAAGGAGCGCAGGTGGCCGGAGAACGTGGTGGTAGACAATGGACGGATTGAAAAGACAAGTGACAAATTGATTGGTGATTGATTCGGAGAGGAGCAAGGGTCCGAAGGAGAAGAACCAACACGTGAGGTGAGAATACTTCTTACTTTAACAGCCCAAAAGGTAATAAACCAATGGCCAAGATGAGCCTTCTGCCGTATCCTCCACTGTTTCTTGCCTCTACACCAAGTTTGCTGATCCGAATCAATCGGGCACCAGACCGCAAGCAAACCTTCCACCGTCCTCATAAAAAAGTGCGATGAACTCCAGAAACATAAAGACACAAGCGTTCTCCTAGTCTCCGGCTCCTTCCCTTTCTCAAGCGTTCCACACCAGTCCGACCGCACTCGAGGACGGATCCTGGGGTACGAGGATAGGGACAAGCAGGAAAGAGGCAAGTGATTCGACAGGGGAGGGTCTTTGCACTCACCGCGGAGCATTCAGAGGGGGATTTGGGCGGAGCAAAGAGACGATTGGCGGACAGTGCCCCGTGCCATGGCCAGCAGACTGTCATTTTTCTTGTGGAAGAAACGTAGGAGAACTGTCAGCCAAGCTTCAGCACAATGAAGCACACTATCATCATCTTGTTTTGTTTCGCCTTCAGTCGCGGTCACGACGGTTAACCCAATGCTCAGACTTGAAGTTTTTGCTTCACCGCACAAAGAAACTTGTATTAATAACATCTAATGAAGGGTTTATCCAGTCATGAAGTTACGTCAGTCTGGGGAGCCACTCTTCCACAGTGTCGATTTGTCCCTTTGAGCAACAACCCCCACAACATGCATCCAACAAGAGTGTTACACGAAGTGAATACATCAGACTGCGCACTGTAGTCTCTTGGAGACACGGGAATACGAGCCTGCAGGGTCAGGTTCGTGTGAAAGTTATGTGGATCTTCCCTTCCGTATTCTTTCGATAACACGAAGAACCAAACACCACTGAATGACTGGGCACAAGAAATCAGCCCACTGCCTAATTATAATTCAAATCACTGGTTGAATTCACATACTTGTCGGTGGTCGCTCTGATTGGGGACGCTTGCCAAGCGTAGAACGAAGTACTATTGCGCCGGAGACGCCCAATGACCCAAAACACCGATAAATTCTCCAAGTGTCGAGCACGAGGTTTGCAGTGGCGGTTGATGAGAGATCTCGGGGCCCGGTGAGGTGCCGGGCTCAAAACAGATTCGCATCTATAACAAATAAATGGATTAAGTACACGTGCAGAAAACAGGACGGTCGGCTTACGTAGAAAATTTGATGTGATTACATGAACCGATTTGGGTTGACTTGGAAATAAACGGTGTGGGCCGGGGATGATTCCGGCCAGGAAGGAGTAACAC